TTCGCCAAGGCAAGCTGGGCAGTCGCCTATTGCTCCTATTCCAGATAACCCACTGTACCCTGTCTGAAAGGAAGTAACGCTAGAGTAGACTCGCGAAAAGTGTATAAGACACTTTTAAGATCAACTAAATAGCTAAGCCCAAGGGAAGTCGTTCGGGGAGGCCCTCCCTAATTCCACAAGGGTGAGAAGGAAGACACACGATAACGAAACATTGAATCATGTAGAACTCGTAGGGTAAATGCAAAGCAATTTAGTAAGAATATGCAGTAAGCTAAGCGAAGAGGTAAGCAAGAGACACGTTAGACTATACTACAACTACTAAAAAAAAAAAACAATAAAGAAATATGTTAGTACAACAATTACTTAGAAATTAAAAACATCTGAAATCAAAAATTAATTCAAATAAAACAAACTAAAACAAGCACGCAAAATAAAAATTAATTAGAATAAACCACAAAAACATGCAAAATAAAAAATTAATTTGAATAAAACGAATTTAAAGAATTTATTCTATTAGGTAGAGCACACATGACAAAGAACCATTTTAACTATGGGTCCCATTTGTCTTCTCTACTGTCGATCTGAAACAGATAGGGTGGTAACAGTTTAATAAAGAGTCACTAAAATGATTTATATCAAGTATTCTCACCTTAATTAACTGTAGATTGTAGATTGTAATGTTCCAAAGTTTGCAGATGTGAAAAGCAAACTAAATCCATAGCAGAAAATTTATTGTTTTAGTAGAATTTAAATAAATCTCCACTTGTTTCCACTCACTGGTTGGAAAGTAATTGCATAATGTTGCAAGGCGAAGACAAAAGCAGCAAATGAAGAATACAGCCCAGGAAAGATGTTACCATTGTAGAAACTGGTTGTTTCGGTATGATCCAACTGAACTTTAATTGAATTAAATAACCTGGAAATACGGGTAAGGAAAAGAAATTAACTACCTATAGTAGAACAACACATCTACATAAAAGCAAGTAAAACAGTAGAATGACCAAATTAACAATTCTATAATGGTTTATAAACATACATATATCTAAGATAGATGTTCTCACAAAGTTTTACTATCCTTGAGGTTCAAATTCTATCTAATAAAAATTTAAAAAGATATTGAACGTTGTCCTTAAAAATGGCTAAAAAACTTGTACTAACTATCAGCTTTTTATGTTTTATACACTTCACACAAATTTGACTATTCAATGTATGTATGTTACAAATGTTTATAAAGTTGATGTTTCTGAGATAATTTAATGACAAGTTTACATTATGTTAATGTCTTAACAAATTTTGTTACTGACCAATTAATTGTCCTAAATCCTTCCTTTAGCAAAAATAACACACTGTCTCTGTTGCCAGTAGAAAAATGCACTTGTATACTTCCTTATTTTACTGCTACATTCTGGAGTGAAGAAGGACCGAATACAACCAATGCCATAAATCAATAACATAGAACTATCTGAAACAACAGAAACATTAAATAAATAAGTTTAAGTGAGACAATACTCAAATGTAAAGAATTTACTTAACCTTATTCTACATATAAAAATGAAACACAATATATTTTTAAGTCAATAAATGAATCTTCCTTAATATAACATATCTGCTATCACTACTATGCTATTACTCATTTGCACCAAAATAAAAACCATTCCAAAACTACAATTCTAAAGAAATTTAAAGCAAACAGAGCCATTAGCTTCATTACTTTCAACTAATATTTGGTCGGGCATTGTAGTTCTAATCATAGATAAAAGGTATAGTAGACAATCGACGTTTACTATTTCTATGTAGTAGACCCATTGAACTAGACCATTTCAATGAGTAGACCGTATCCCTAATCTATGGTTGTAACCATAGATATTACAACTTATAGATAAGGAATCCATAGATCAATATAACCCAAAGCAGCGCCACCTACCAGTGTCAGTCGCCATTATTTACGTCAACGTACATTTACGATAAGTTAATAAATATGTAGTTTCTTTTAAATGGATATTAAATATTTATGAACACGGTAATTTTTTGGTTTAGATTTTCAATAACTGCAAAACAGTATAATACTTAGTTGGCTTCCTAGTTTTAAATATGAAATTTTAGAATAGTGTTCCTGCACCAGCATATAGACAACCCATCTTTCCTATCTGTTTATCGTGTCACAGTCATTAAAATAAAAAAAAAAGTTAATATAGTATTTTTTGGATCAAACGCAGGCTTATCTATTTCTACAACTATTCTAGTTAGAGTGTCCACAATTTTTGACCAAAAAAGAAAGTATTGTACGATAGCATATATTATAACGTGTAACGTTTGTTTGAAAGTTTGGAAGTAGGAGGTAATCTGTGAAACTGCTGATCCGATTTCAAAAATTATTTCACCAATGTTTGAAATGGATCTTTGGAGTGGTTAAGGCTGCATATTATCCCCTTAAATTAATTTTTTAACGTATTAGATAAGATTTTGTTGGACCTCCTCCCCAATTTGGGCTCACGCACTGAAAGGATATTTCCCAACGACTTTTTCCTTCAAATAGGACCATTTTATATTAAAGATCTTCGATTTGCGGTTTTAATTAGAAGGAAAAGCGTTAAAAGATTTTGAGATAATGCAGTATCCAAAACAACTAGACAACAATTTTTGAGATTTAATCGTAATTTACAAGATGTGAAATATATTTATCGAAAAATACAAACTTTACGTTTCTCCATCATGTAGTAGCTAATGGTTTTAAATTTGCCATAGACAATAAATTCTTTTGAAAAAGTTGCACCTCCGTCGTGAATGATTTATACTTATTGTTACTTGGACAAATAGGTAACAAGCATTATGTTAAACGAATTCATATAGATACATTTCACAAACGATTAATTTCGAAACGTATTGGAAAAGTAGCAAATAATGTACTGCATTATCTAGTCTATTATACACGGTAAGGGTTGTATTGTGAGGCTAAGTTGCCTGTAATTGTTAACAACAAACGACTTTTTCACGGTTCATGGGATTCCATTTGTTCCCAAAGGAGAAAGGACACCCCTCTTGTGTTATTGTTGCTGTGCGTGTTATGGAGATGCAGGGATTCAGGGTGGGTATTATAAAATATAATAGTTTAGCCACTTGGGACACAAAGACTAACTCTTCGTCGTTTTGATTTCGAATGACTTAACACTACGCTAAATTTTGAATCTTCTATCGAAAATAATTGAAAATCGATAGGATCTAAATTGGCTTCCGCCTTTCTCTTTGAATCGAAAGAAACATTGCTTTTTTTGGCAATACGCTTTTATTAAAAACAATCGAACTTATCTTTGCAGGGATTTTTGGATACAAATTTTAGAAATATGCAATTTCTTGACTGCAATTCGGTCTCTCAATAATGTTTTCTTGTGAGCGGTTTTTTGCCTTTTTAAATAATTTGAAAAACTGTATTACAAGATAAAAAAACACATGCTATTTTATTTAGATCTACAATCTACTTAATATGACCTGTTTGGACCACCAAATACGATAATAAATAAACTACTGAAAATACAATTCACCTTATTTAGTATTAGCGTTCGGTATTAATTACAAAGGACTTAATAGCTTAGTAAATGGGTGATATTTGTCATTTCAACCCGATTTGTTCTCAATTAAACGTGACCAGAAACAAGGGCAACGAGAATTTCGGGGGACAAAACCATAAACCATATTAAAACATTTAAGCATCACCGCTTCTGGCGGCACACCAAACGAGAATTTGTAATTCGATACCGAAATCGAAACAACAATCAATGATTCGTGACCGAAAATCTTTAAAAACGCACACTAATATACCACACTTCGTTTCACCACATGTGGCAAATATTAGGTATACTAAATGAGGAAACGTGTAAATAGTATTCAAAATATTTACAAGGGTTTTTGCGAAACCTGAACTGAACGTTTAATAAATATTTTCAAAATAAATAATTAAACAGATATAATTCAGGATGGAAGGAGCAGTTGAGATATAAAACAGAGGATAGCGCAAGGTTGAGTCCCTTTAACTTCTATGTTCGCGAACGGTTGAATTAGAAATTTCGAAAAAGTTAAATGTGTACGTTTGTACCAAGGCTCTGTACGAGTGCGAAACGTAGACACGGTCGGTGCAGCGGAATTGAAAAGGTTAGAGTGATCGAAATGTAGTTTATTGACGAGGATGAAATAGGCGAGATAGTTGGTAAGATAGCTTCTCATGAAGGGCTAGTTAGACATATTAGAAGCAGAAGTGGGAGTTAAGAGGAGTAGAGGTAAACTTAGACTAGATTACTGCTGACAAATGGTTAATTAATGACGTGGGATGTTCTAGTTTTATGGAAATAAGAAAGTAAAAGTACGTCTTTAATTAGTTTTAGGACTGACGAAGTAATACAATAAATAAATAGGCAAAAGTTCTTAACAATTATGAATTTTCGAATATTGGGATCCGTCAAATAGGAGGAGCCTAAAAACATGGCGCCGATTAGGGAAGATTTATCGTAGTTCCTATAGTGTACCGTGCAATTTCCAAGTTTTTAAATTACGATAAAATGATAAGTATTGACACAATATGTGATTGGGCTGACACAAAGCCTCGGAAAGGAAATTTCGTTGAAGGTGAGCGTGTTTTTAATGCCAATCACATTATAAAATTCGGAAATAACAAATCCGGAAGCTAGCCTTCAAATTCCGTCAAGTTTACTGCCTACTTTTTACAAACTTCGGATTTAAAAAGTGATTCACGTTATATAATTGGTGAGGTGATTCTGGGTGATTTAAGCAATATCATATCAATGACTTGCACGTGCAAAGCCGATTTAAGAGAACGTTGCAAACACATTATTGCAACTTTGTTGTATTGCAGCAGGTAGGTTCTTAACCTCAAAATACTTATATCGTATCATTAGAATTGTGTTAAATCAATTACACAGGAATAAATAATTTCTCACTTTATAATTTTAGTATGATTCTAGTTTTAAATATTAAGGTTATGGCTGATGGTAAATACTTGCTGAAATATAATCATGTGCATTAAAATGACGTGAACAAATTTTTATTCCGGAATTCACTTCTTTGATACCTACTGCTTTCATCCAAGCTTCTATTAGTTTACTTTTTTCTCTAATTTTCCGAATATATTTTTTACATATATAAAACGGTTAATTTTTAATGGAAAGTAGTTAATGTAGATGAAGAGTGAAGATCTATGTCTGAAGTGCTATTGCAGCTTTTCACTGAACATATTAACTTTTTATTTGATTTAACTTTAGAAGAAAACTTCGTCGACTCCATCATCAAAAAATTTTTTACTTTTTTAACGTGTTTTATTATTTTAATTTTACAATTTGCGTGCACAGTTCCTATGTAAATTTTTCCCTCATTCGAGTTATAAATTTTGCTACCCGATGGTGTATGCCATTTGACGGATCCCAATAAGATAAAATTATGTGTCAATTGCATATAAATTAGGATAACTTCTGGCGTATACAAAGTCGATAAAATTTATTGGCAAACAACCGAACAAAAGCAATGAGTTAGAGAAAGAAAGACACTATTATTAGGTACTAGGCATAGTAACACGTTTCTGTGAAACCGATAAGATCGTCCTGACATTTCGAATTGAATGGCTTTGTTAGGGATTGTGAAAAGCTAAAAACACAATTTAAATGCACTTAATTTTCTATACAAGCGTGAAAACGAGCCGTTGTTGTGCATGCAAAGAATTTACAGCGCCGTCCCGTTCGAAGAAAGGTCCACATTAGGGCCAAAGGACCGAAATGTAATCGTGGTACACGGAATATAAACGGAGGCCGGCCCTACGACCGACTGACCAAAGATTATATTTTTATTTCGTGAAAAGAATGACGGAGGTTGTAACTGATAGCTACAGCTAGCCTTTCAAATGTGTTACCGTAAATTTGAAAGGAAGATGGACAGGTCGTGATTGTGTGAATTTGAGAATATCTTTCAAAAGATGCGGTGGTACCTATAATAGTAACATGTCAAATTTAAGGTACCATTTTAGATGGTTAATTTGGGTACATGACTCTATTTTCTCCTTTTGGAGGAAGCATTGATAGGCATTTCGTGAAAATCGCAATTGTCATTGTAAGTCAAAATAAAACAGAAAAATTTTTGCTGAAAATTATGCCTAAAGAAACTATAGTGGAAAACCGTTTATTTTTACATAATTATCACTTCTCAAAGCTTAATAAATACATTTTATATCTCAATCATTTAACGAGCGCCTTTTTATGTTTAAATTGTTTTATAAAGTTTACCAAAAATGATGCCGGAAAGTATTTATTTGTCACTGTACTCGGAAAATTTTGGCACTATGAGATTTTACGTACTTTTTTACATAATTAACACTCCTCAAAGCTTAATAAATACTTTCCACTTCTCAATAATTTCACGAGCGCCTTTTTATGTCTACCTAAATTATTTTATATAAGTGTTTTACCAAAAATGATGCTGGAAATTATTTATTTGACACCGTACTCGGAAAATTTTGGCACCATGAGATTCTCCGTACTTTTTTACATAATTAACACTCCTCAAAGTTTAGGAAATGCTTTCGATTTCTCAGTCATTTTACGAGCGCCTTTTTTATGTTTAAGCTATTTTATATAGTTTACCAAAAATGATGCCGGAAAGTATTTATTTGACACTGTATCCGAAAACTTTTGGCACCAGGAGATTCTACGTACTTTTTTACATAATTATC